GGATTTGGAGTCTCTGTGAATCCGGGCACGCTCCGGACTCTCTGTGAATTGGAGTGGACAACTTTGGATGTGGGCTGGCCCTCGGTAGACTCTGCTAACGTTCTCCTTTTGGGAGAAGTTAGGTCTGTAGTCTATGGGGATCCTGGTCATCCGGATCAGATTCCCTATATAGACGTCTGGTTAAACATTGCTACCGAACGGCCTCCCTATATCAGAAAACGTCAGAGAATCAGACGTAAGTCTGAATCCACTCCAGTTCTTCTGGCCACGGGGACCACGAAGCCCCTGACTTGGCAGACCCTGGGAAAAACCCCCTCCTCCAGTGATGGCGGCGCTCGTGGCGGCTGCCGCCGCCGCTGCGGCTGCTCTGGCGGCGGCGCACCCTCGGCCCCGGCTCGGCGGCGGCCCTGTGTGCCCCATGTCCTCCCTGGGGCGGGGGAGCCCGCGCCGCCCGCCCGCGCCCCCGCGCCGGGGGCAGCGGCGGTGGCGGCGGCAACGAGGGGGGCGGCCCCGGCCGTGGCTCCGCATTGTGCGCTGCGGGGCGGGAGCGGCAGGCCGGCCCGGGAGGAGCCGCCGCCGCCCTCGCCCTTGCCCCCCGTCTGCCCCGAGCCCAGCCCCATGAAGGAGCCGGGCGGCGCCGCGGCGGCAGCAGGAGGAGGAGAACGATGTAAGCTGCCTTGAGCCGTTGTAGGAAAAAGGCAGGAAAAAGAAAAATTGGGCAACTGGATTCAGGAATCCAGCCCATCAGATAGATATTACTGAAGTGTCAGTTTGCAGGGAAGGCAGGGGAGGATATTAGGCAGAACAGGAGTTGCAGGTGTTAGATGGAAGAGAGGCAAGGACGTTGGAAAATTTGTTGAGAGAGGCACAGAAAGTGTATGCGATGAGAAAGGATGAGGAGAAATTGAGTTTATGGCTCAGAGAATGGAATGGAAGTATATATATATATATATATATTTTTTCCTGGGGCCCGACTGTGAGACAAAGGCTATGTTAATAGCCCTTGCATTCTCAGGCGCCCGGGGGTCTATAGGCGTATTGCCCGTATGCCTCCAGTAGGCGTTCCAAGTATGCGGCAGGCAGGAGACTCCCGGGGCCCCTGAACAATTTAACTCCCCTTAGACAGATTGGTGAACCTCCAGGCTTGGGCCACGGAGGTCCTGCAAAAGAATTTGGCAGTACCTGGTAAAGCTCCTTCCCCAGCCACTAGTTGGGTCGTTGGGCTGGCAGGCGTGCTTCTAGGGTGGCTGAGTCTGTGGTTGGCTGGCCGTCTGTGCGAGGACACATTTTCGAGCCTCGAGATAAACCCGGTCGCGCTCCTCAGAGGTAAAAAGGACCTGTAAAAAGTGCTGACAGTCGTCCCTAGTGGGACGGTGATTGTAAAAACTGTTTCTAGTAACGAACTCAAGCCTTGTGGTTTTTCAGAGAAAGGAGGATTTCGTTGTTTCCAGTTTTTTTTCCTCATCTGTTGCTTCAGTCTCCCCAGCCACTCAGATGAAGTATCATCTGTCTCTTATTCTAAAGACAAAGTCTTATACACATTAAGAGACTGAGGTACTGCTCCTTTGATTCCCTAGATCATATACTCTAATAATTCCCAACTCTCCCTTCTAGAAAACAGCACAGAACATCTCCTGCTCTGTTGAGATTTTCTCTATTCCAAACATTTCTAGCTGCCTGTTGGATAAAACTCAATTCTTCACCAGAAAACAAAATACAAGCAAACAAGCAGGCAAACAGACAGACAGACAGACAAACAAACAAAAATAACTTGTAGTTCCTGCCTAAAAAGTTTCACCTCTGCTGCAGTCAGAAGGGACTCCACAAGCCCAAATCTTCCTATTGCCAAAGTACCTGCCCAGAAGGGGCCATAATATGATTTTGCTGTCCTCATGCTATAAGACCAATCAGCAAAACCTCCCCCTTTTAAGCCATGGCTAAGTTTCCTGTAAGGTGGGATTTCCATCCTTGTTCCATTTATAATCTGGTTCCTGCAGTACATAGGTTGGCCAGACCTCTCTGCAGTACTTAATCATTTGAGTCTTGTTTAAAAAACATGTCCAATTAGTGCTTTGAAACAGACTTATCACCTTTTAGAATCCCCCGGAAAAACTAGGATTCCGATTCTTTTAATTATACAACTCAGAGATGGCAAATGGTTGTTAAACACACACAAAAACATAAACACAAACCCAGGCAGAACCCGTCACAGTGGCATCTGCCCTTTCTTGCTGTTTAGTTATGGGCTGCTCACTTTCGAGTCCAATGCAATAAATTCTTGCAGGGAGAGGCATCATGCCCCCCCCCCTTTTCTTTCCACAAAGTGTTCAATTTTCCTTCCAAGCCTCACAAGCACCAGCTGCCTGAGGTTTTAGACATAAATCAGTATTGGTCTTCCTCCTTAGCTTCATCTTTATCTACCATTCAATGCCTTACCTTAGTTATACAACTTATATTTATTTTCAAGACACTAAGATTTCTTTGAGAGTTTTCTAGAGACTCAAAGACTTTCTTTTGAGAACTAGTGCAAGCCCGCCTCCAATCTGTGGCTGGAAGCAGAGCTGCTCAAACTTCCCAATGGCTCAGAGAAATTGAGTTTATGGCTCAGAGAATGGAATGTAATGGCATTAGAGGAAAGGCAGAAGATGAGGTCGAGGGAGAGGATTTCAGCCTGCACCAAAAGGGGCGAATGAAGGATTAAGTGCAGGATGCTATCAATGTGGAAAAGTTGGGTACTTTAAAAAAAAGATTCAGAAACTGGATGGGTTTGAAGGTAAAAAAAAAAAAATCTTAGGGAGTTAGTCGAAATAGCCCAGAAGATTTTTAACAACCGGGAGTGGTATTCGGTTCTGGACTTAAAGGATGCTTTCTTCTGCATACCCCTGGCCCCGGTGAGTCAGCCCCTCTTGGCTTTCGAGTGGACTGATCCTGACAGGGGCTCCTCGGCCCAACTGACCTGGACCCGGTTGCTGCAGGGATTCAAGAACCCCCCACCCTCTTTGATGAGGCTCTTAAAAGGGCAATTACCACGGCACCCAGACCTTGGGCCCGTAAAAGCGGCCAGTTGCTTATACAATACCAGGAACGGCTGTTGGACCCCCCCCCCGCGGGTCACCTTTTCCAAGATGGCAGTCCTTAACACAGCGACTCTATTGCTGGACAATCGACAAGAGAGCCCTTCCCATGATTGCGCTTAAGTCCTCGACTGCCACCAGACCAGATCTGACAGGCACTACTAGGACCGCCAGCCCTCAACTTGTTTACAGACGGGAGCAGTTTCGTCAAGGATGGAGTCCGGTATGCGGGAGCAGTGGTGGTCACCAGTTCTGAGGTAATTGGGCCCAGTCAGGCATGTCGGCCCAAAAGGCGGGGCTCTTCGCCCTAGCGCAAGCCCTCTGGTGGGGGAAAAAGGGGGAGACTCTTATCATTTACACGGACAGCCGGTACGCCTTCGCCCCGGCTCACGTCCACGGGGCGTTGTATTTTACAGGCCTTTTCCAAGCATAGAAGAGATTGGAAAAAGTCTTTAGCCATGTGTTTTGAATGTCTGAACTCACATAGGGAAGCTTGATTCATATGTCATGGTGACAATTGCTGAATGGTTTAATGAAGGAATCACAAGGATAAGCAGAGCATGTCAGCTGTGACCTCATTATTATTATTTTTTTACTTTTAATTAACAATCCAGGAATATTTATTTATTTAATAAAACATTTCTATGCCGCCCCATTCGCCGAAGCCTCGGGTTGGCTCACAACATGAAGCAAAATACAAAAATAACAATATAAAAATAACAATATAAAATAAATAACAATATAAGTCACCCTGGCCAGATAAAATAAGCAAATACTGTTAACAATTAAAATGACGCTTAAATAAAAAGGTCTTTGCCTGGCGCCGAAAAACAAATAACGACGGTGCCAGGCGGACCTCTCTTTGCTATGGGTTAACTTAACTTTTGGGGTATTTAATCCATAAACAATCCAGAATTTCTGGGTGCACACCTCCCAAACCAGTGTTCCTGAGTTGATAAACTGAGAGCAGTACTGACACATTTCTCTTGCCTCCAATTCCAGAAACTGTTGTGCAAACCAAGCCTCCTTGTAAGATACTTACTTGTGGCAAACCTATTCCAACTGCCAGTTGCCCACGGCAACAGCACAATGAAGGCTCCCCAGCAGTTGCTTTCTGGAACGCTATGATCCGTTGGAAGCTTGAGCAAGAATCAAAGTATCAAGAAACCAGTACTGCTGGTCATAAACCAGTGTGATGTTCTATTTGTATCGTTGGCTATCTCCTTTTTCGTAAGAGGAAAGCATGTATGAGGTAACATCCTCTGTATTTTTGATATCCACTATTTAAGATGGTATCCCACTTCATGATGCGTGTTTAATGTATGGAAATGAATAACAGGTAGAATAATTCTAGGAATCCGAAGGGGGTGTCTTACACGCAAAAAAAATTAGGAAAAAGAAAAACGTGTTACTATTGAGTTGCTCTCTTTCTTCTCTTGCCTTCTTTCATCGGAGAATCTTTACTTTCCCTTGCCTAGAAGGGAGGTAAAGCCACGTGATGAGCTAGTGCGTGCGCAGGCACAGGTTAGGACAGTTGGAGCCGTTAAGTCCTCCCGCTTCCTCAGTTGGCCACTGAGTGGCTGCTTTACCGTAGCTCCTCGGCAGCGGTGGCGCCCTCTTTCGGCGCGTGGTGTTCAGTCTGCACTCCTTTCCGCCGGCCCCTGTCACAAAGCAGCCTCTTCATATCCAATACCAATACACGTTCGAGTGACCATAGATTAACTACTTAAAAAAATAGAGTGGCCTATCATCAGAATTATTTTCTCTGATGTACTACTGAGCCAGTTTCCCAAGCTAGAGCTTGCGTGCTCTGCGCCCTCACACGGGTTTCATTTTTAACGGTGCTCTGCGTCGCTCTTTTTTTTGTAACTCTGTGTGCGTGTGTGAGGCGGTTCTCGACTCCGTTTGCGACAGTAGCCGTCAGTGAGGGTGTCGGGCGCCGAGCTCTTTCTGGGGAAGAAGCTTCTGTAAGGCTGGAAGGGACGGCGGGACGACCCAAGCAGGAACGGGCGTCCGGGTATGCGGCATAGGGCTGTGGAGGAGGCTGAGAGCAGGCTGGAGGAAAGGGGCAGGAAGGTGCGATCTCCTGGACTGGGTGTCCCCGGGGAACGTGGAGGGTTTGGTGGTTGGAGGCCTCGGCTTTTCTAGGAGAGAGTGTTGCTTGAGGCTGAAAAAGAGTGATTGCGTGAATACTCACATACCACGGAGGGCAGTAGTAGATGTACTGGGAAAAGGGCGACCGGGGCATCCATATCAAAGTGATGAGGTTGGGAGAACAATTGCATCCGGGGAGGGCAGCAGGAGAATTCTTGGAACAAGGGAGCAATCATGATGGAGATGGGTGAGTGTTCTTTACTGTGTTTGTATCCTGCCGTTTTCCTGCAAGGAACGCAAGGCGGCTTATGTAATCCTTTTTGCTCCCTTTTATTCTCACAACAATCTGTGAGGTAGGTTAGGTTGAAGGTAAGTGACTGACCCAAGGTTCTTGTTGTGGCTTGTCTATGATGATGGCCGCCCACCATTTTGTAAGCATGCTAGGAATTCAAATCTAAAGTAGGGGGGACTGCCATACAAAATGTTCATCCTTTTCTCATGGCCAGTGAATACAGGCAACACTATAGGCAGGCAGGAATGAATTCATTCATTTATTCATGGGTTAATTATCAAGTATAACTAGGCACAGAGGCTTTTCTGGCCTTTACCTGATGTGTCACAAATCCTTCAGTGTGTAGCACTTGTGGCACATGTGCTGTGGGTTGGCTGCTTGTAGGCTACGGGGCAGTTTCAGGTAAGACATGACAAAGTGGATGGGTTAGCAATAAGGCTATGGTTGTGGATATAATAGCAGGCATTTTCTTCCCTTGCAGAATCTTGAGCTATAATTTTTCACTCCACAGGAGGAAAGCAGCCTTCCAGCTCTGCCCTTTAAAATATTTTTTATCCAGTGTTAGAAGTAAGAGCAACAATGGCTGAGAATGGTGTGGAGCAGCATCAGCTGCCACCAGTGAGTGAAGACTTAGTAATGAACAGTGAAGAGAGAGGAGCAGAGACAATGGCAGTGAACAAAGGAGTGGAAGGTGATGCACAGTTGAATTCCTCTAAAGAAAATGGCACCAAAAAGATTGTGCCTGGCATAATCTACCTTGGTCACATTCCTCCTCGATTCCGGCCTCGGCATGTCCGTAACCTACTTAGTGTCTATGGTGAGGTGGGACGTATTTTTCTCCAGCCTGAAGGTGAGCCTACATGTGTGCATTAAGGAGGGGTGGGCAGGTGTGTGTGTGTGTGTGTGTGTGTGTGTATGTATATACATGTGTTGCATAGGGCCAGGTAGGATTAACTACAGAAGGTAATACATCTTTTCTTTGAATGGATGCTGGCTTTTGCAATGGAGAGGCAGCTGAAGGTCAGGGGAATTCAGATGTTGTCAATGAATTATATTATAAATGGCTCTTTAGCTGAAATGCTATTCAGTGCTTTCTTTAAAAAATAAGTTAGTATAGTAGTGGCAGTAGGAGTAGCCATTGTTTATTTAGTGTAGTACAGTAAATTACTGATGATCAGATTTTACTTACTAAAGAATTGCAGCTAAATTTTAATGATGCATCTATAGATGCCTAGTTGAACTAAATTTTGAACCTAGGATCTGGTCCAGGTCTGTACAATGTGTAATTCATCTCTCCTTCTGTCTTCCTTAGAGCGATTTATACGAAAGAAAAAGAAGAAAACTGGTAGCAATGCCAAGAACTTCACGGAAGGCTGGGTGGAGTTTCGGGATAAGCGTGTGGCAAAGTTGGTAGCTGCCAGCTTGCACAATACACCTATGGGACTCCGCAAGAAGAATCAGTTCCATTATGACCTTTGGAATATGAAGGTGTGTGTGTGTTGCAGGCTGCTCCAGTGAATAAGTGGTTTCTCCTTTTAGCCACTCCTAATCTACTTGCTCTTATGTAGCAAACCCAAAATTTACTTATTAGCTTTATGAAGGAACAATGTGTTAAGACTTTATACTGGGGCTTTTGAAGATACTTTTTTCCCAATGGCTTCTTGAGGGAAGCAAATTTCTTTCTCAACCCTGTTCCTACTCCTTTTGATCCCCTCATACCATCCACATTCATATGCTTCAGTGTAAAACAAGGGTGGGGACCCTTTTTGTCTATTTGCAGATGCATTCTCTTAGGGTAAATCTGCTGGGGACCAGTCCACTCCTTTTCTCTCATCCTCACCTAGTGAGCTACAGAGGGAAGGCCAGATTACTCTTGCCAGAGGTTTATACTTTTTACATCCAACAAACTCATGCATTTATTTATTCCTTTATTTATTGCATTTATGTGCTGCCCCATAGTCCAAAGGACTTTTTGGACAGCTTACAATAAAACAGCAACAAGAATAATAAGAGCAACAATTAAAAAAATAAAAACCAGTTCAGCACCTACAACATCTCTTAAATAAAAAAGTATTTACCTGGTGCTGGAAAGAGAGAGGCACTGGTGCCAGGTGCACCTCCTTTGACTGCATATTCCATAAGTGGGGTGCAGCCACAGAGAAGGCACTTCTCCTAGCCTTACTTTGTTGGGGGGTGGTCCTTAGAGAAGGTCCTTCATCAAAGATCTGCATGATTGGGTAGGGATATTAGGCTGAGAGCTGCATGAAATTAAGCCAAGGCTGCAGGTTCTTCCCTGCTGTGAAGAGTTTACTGCTTGATGACACCAATAAAGGAGCTATATATTTTAAGAGCAGTTCCCTCATTTTTTGTTCCCAGTATCTACACCGCTTCAAATGGACTCACCTGAGTGAACGACTAGCATATGAATGGCAAGTGCGGCAGCAGCGTATGCGTGCTGAAGTTTCACAGGCCAAACGTGAAACTAATTTCTACCTTCAGAATGTGGAAAAGAGCAAGCACTTTTCAGAGAAGGGCAGTCAGAGAGAACAGGAAGAAAATTGCTGGGGCTTTGTTCAGCATCATACTGAGGAGGAAATCCAGACTAGCAAAAAGAGCAAGCGCCTCAAACAGCAGCTGGTCCGGGCTGCTGAGATCCAGCAGAAGTCCCAGTCAAACAGTTCTCTACTGACCAAGATCTTCAATGTTCATCAGTAGTGGGGGCTCCATGAAATGCAGGACTCACTGTTAATCCCGATATAGCTGTTGGCTGCTAGGTTTTTACAAGCCTAGCAGATCAGTTGTATCAGCTGTCCTATGGGGAAAAACTTGCTCATGCTGTGTCAGCAAATGCTCAATACATTTTATGGGTATGTTGTGGATGTACAACTTGCCTTTTTGCTGAGCAGAGCCTTTCTTTAGAATGCTGTCCTATTTTGCCTGACCAGCATCAAGGTGTTCCTTTGTTGGGACTTGGTAAAAGTTAACTTTTTTGGTTCTCCCCTTAGGCACTGGGGTTGGGCTGAGCTCTCCCCTCTAACATGCTCTGAATCTGTGAATATAGTAGAAGAGGGTTCTGTGATTAATCAGGTAAACAGTGGGGAAGGAGAGCAGAACTTAGCTAGAATCTAGTTGCTAATATGACTGAACCTTGATCCCCGTTGAGAAAGCAAGGCGAATAAAGGAAGCAGCCACACTCTCTTTTGCGGAGTTTGATATAGTCCAAAAGTCTTCAGACATATTTCAGTTCCTGTCTCCATTTTCAGTAGTGATCTAAGGTCACTGGAAAATGTCAAGCAGAAATTCTAGATGCTGTGAGGATATGAAAGGAAAACAATGTGTCATTGATTGTTTGAAATGCCTTAGCTGGGACAGTAACCTTTATGCAAGCCACAGCTGCAGGACCCCCTTCCCCCCTCAAAAAAAAAAAAAGCTTTCTCCAAACTACTGCACTGAACTGAGATTGCATGCCCTTCTAAGATCATATCCCAAATGTGTATGTTTCTGACTGAAACTTTTCATTGTACTCCAAATTTAAATAAAAAATTATTTTGAGACAATGTTTATGTTCTTTAATCACAATGTCTGGAAACGAAGTGAACAAGATACTGATCAGGCCAAGGAGCTATTTGATTCATTGTAAGTGATTTCTAAAAATTCAGCATATCTCTCAAGCTGAAGTGTTGATAGATAATGCAAGCATTATTCAGTGAAAGGAAAAGCTACAGTATGTGAAGCCTTTTGATTTATGGGAAAAAAGACAAAACCTTATGCATGTTTAGTCAGAAGAAAGTTCCAGCATGCCCTCAGACAAAGCATTCTAGTATGTTCTTGTTCTCTTCTTGCACTTCTGGTGTGTCTTGGTACGCTTTAGTCTTCAGCTCTCTCTGTTCTCCTGCTCTGCCCTATGTCTTCCCTTACCCCACGAGGGGGGAAATCTGGTGCAGAAGATTCCATTTGTTCATGGTTAAGCTTTTTTTGCTTAACCATGGATCCAGCTTGGCCACAGTGAAACTTTGGTGAGTTCTGTCTTTGTGGTGTTAGAGGGTTTTGTACAGGAAGCTCTAGAGAAATGAAAGTGGAATTTGGGCTGTATCTTGTTTTTAATTGCTGGCTTGGATTTAGGAATGTAGTCTTACTTCTGACTGGCAAATGTTCTTGAGGTGTGGAGGAATGTTAGAAGCATACTGCTGTTCTCTGCCTGAGATGGGCCCATCGAGCTGTGCCCATACCTCTTGCTGGAGAGTAATATCAATGGGCTTATAAGTTAGGAGGGTGGTTACTCGGAGGAGGGCTTTCTCAGCGGTGGCGCCTAAGTTATGGAATGCGCTCCCCAGAGAGGTCCGCCTGGCGCCGTCGTTATTTGTTTTTCGGCGCCAGGCGAAGACCTTTTTATTTAAGCAGTATTTTAAATGTTAATATTATTGAATTTTATTTGGCCAGGGCGGCTTGTTTTATAGTGTATATTTGTATTTTATTGTATATATTTTAAAATGTTATTTTAAATTTTTTGTTGTAAGCCGCCCCGAGGCTTCGGCGAATGGGGCGGCATAAAAATGTTTTAATAAATAAATAAATAAAATAATATAACATCTCCCCACATCTTTGAATGCTCAGAATGGGCACCTCAAAGAACCAAAGATGATCATGAGGGTTCTTTCAATATGCAGCAGACAGCTGATATACAGGCAATCCCTGGGTTACAAACAAGTTCTGTGCTTGAGAAAATGGAAATTTGTATGCAAGTTGGATGAGATACTGTCAGCCCTCCACATTCACAGGGGTTAGGGGCACAGGACCCCCACGCAAGTGAACAAATTGTCAATATCCCTAGTCCCCCACCCACTCAAATTTCACCAATGCCTCCTCTTTGCAACAAGGAAATGCTGGAGAGATTTCGCTCCAGATGGGTGGAGCAGGAAGGCATACTTTGGAGGCCTCCCTCCCCCCTTTTGCTTCCTCTTTGTCTATGGTGATGATTTCCTGCAGTTATTTTTATAAATTAATAGGCTTTATGGCAGTACAGGTTATTTGTAACTTGGGGACTGCCTGTATCTGTGTTTTGGTGGATGTTAAAAACCAATTTGCCTCATCTATGGAGAAGCAGTTGCTGTTATGAAGAACATGGAGAGTCACTTCATAAATAAAGCTTGGATGTCTGTGCAGTTGGAAAAATCAATAAGGCTTGAGCATGTCAATGTTGCCCACCTCAAAGTTTGGGCTGCCTCATTCCATTTCCAGTTATGAGCTTTCTCAGTCAGAAAAAGTACACATTTTTATAAGTGTGCAGCCAAATAAGTACTTTTCTCCTATTGAATGAAGCATGAAAATGCTATTTTAAAAGTAATTTTTTAACAGCTTCATTTTGTGAATATTATCATGGGTTCAGCTATGTGCATGCTTTGCCCTCAATGCATTTGCATTCTGAGCTGCGAATGGGGCAAGTTCTAATATTTTTCAAGCTGAAATGAAGTTTCAGTCAATGTCCAGATAAATGCTATATTTCTCTGAAAGTCTGCTGTTGAATTTGCCTTCTATTCTCTCCATCTACAGATGTTTACCAGAGGGAGTTGCATGGAGACAGTCATATTTAAGTAATACTAAATTCTAAAGTCTCTGTCCACTTTTGCACTCTTCTAGAAAATGAAAGTGCAAGTTTCCCATGCCCCATTTTGATTTTCTGTTTTGATTTGATTTTGTCTTGTGCAAAACAAAGAAAAATGAGAGAGTTCAAACTTAATGGTTGCTGTGGCTTAACTTATGGATTAACATTTTTAGAGTTAATGATTAAACAGTATGCTATTTTTTTACATCAGTATTTTAAAGAAAATGTTAACCTAGGCCCCAATGTGCTAAGGGTTTCATTGGGCTAAGGGTGTATATGCACATGCACTGTGATGATACATTCCTGCAAAACAATCCTAAGTGTGTGGGACAGGAGGTCCATGGTGGAAGAACTTTCAGATGAGGATGAAGTCACTTTGTGGAGTAGTCTTCCTCACTTTTCCCCCTCCAGTGTGAGGTAGTTTCCCATGCGAGTTTCTGGATTATTTTGGGGACAAGCCCTTAAACTACCCCATTTTAAGCACTACCACTCACCACACATGGCCAGTGGAGCACTCCACTGCTGGGAAGACTTCCATGGGTGACCCTCTTTGTTGACCGAGCCAGCAGCCTCCCTCAGGCCTCCTACTAGCACAGGCATTCAATGTGGTATCATCAGGCCCCATCCTTGAGCCTCAGACTTTGGGCTGATGGAGAGCTGAACCTCTCTGATTGAAACAGTTTGATGAGCATTGGAATCACAGTTCAACATGAACTATGTTCATCTGAGCTCTAGGAAATAGCCATAAAGTACTAGTTTTTATGTGTACAAGGTCCCCATTTCAATTCGCAGAACACATCTAGATTCAGAAGTTCCCAATATAAATATTGTCCATCATACAAAAATATGATAGGCTAAAGGTTTGATTCAGTTTGGGACAACTTTGTGTCCATTTGGGTGTCTTTGCGGGTAGAAGCAGAGCTTCCTGAAATATTCAGATCTTTATCTGAATCAGGGCTTGCTGGATTTTGTAATCTGTTTTCAGTTCCAGAACATGTGAAGCAAGCGTCTTTGAGCATGTTGTGGCAAATGTAATATAACCAGACACGTTACCCTAGTTATGCAATCAAGAATTTGACTGTTAGGGTGTTTTCCAAGCAAATTCTGAACAGAAAAACAATTATGTGATCCCAAGATGTCGTATTTTATAGATAGGCCTTTTGAAGCATGTATTTTTCGTACATATTTCATAAACCCAGATGTCCGTGTGTCTAATCACTGAATATCTTACTACTGCAAGCCCTTCATCCCCTTAGAGAAACATCCTCACTGTGAGATACTTGCTCATTTTCTGAAGAATGTGTCCCCTTTTGGGGACATTTGGCCTGCCTGTATACATTGAGCTACCATGTTGAGTCACCTCTGTGAAGCTGCAGAGTCTGCAGCTGGATGGGTGACCATATCAGGAAGCAGAGCAGGGGTTGGACCTGATGCCTTATAGGCCCCTTGCAATTCTTCTGCTCTGCGATGCTCTGCTCTGCTGTTCAGTCTTCCTTGAAATGATGTCCTACTTCCCTGAGACCCCAATTTTCCATGACAACGGAGGAGCTGCTGCCCAGGAATTGGGATGCTGTTTGGTCCATAAAGTTCTCATCCACCAACCTCTCTGCTTTTTTTAGCTTCTCAGCTCCATAACCTTGGCTTTGAGGGAATGAGCTTGTTCTGTGAGAATCAGGTGTCCGCTATATCGCATGTACACCCATACCTTCTGGCCAACTGACAGATTGTCATATGTGTGATAATGATGCACTGCAATGCACTGGGCAGACCCACACCCCTACTGACCTTCTACCTTCATCAGTGTTTGTTAATTGGTATTATTGGGTTTGCTTGCCAGGAGAAGGTGGGGAATTTACTTATAATTCTTCATGTATAGCCTATAGTTGTCATAAGATGGAAGGAGCTTGCTTCCCTGCCCTCCTTACTCTGATGCTGGACAAATGTGATTGCTTCACTTGTGTGCTGATGCTCTGTCATTGAAGTTGAGACACTTTGTCACTAGGGCTCCTTGCACAACAAGACCTATCTCCCTTGTGAGCCTGCCTCCTTGCACCACTCTAGGTAGGTTGACCCAACAGCTGCTGCAGCCAAGTTGATCACAGGGCCTTGTGTGAAAAGCAAGGGAGGCGCCAGCTGTCTTAATCTGTACCAGCTCCCAGTGAATCCCCCCACCCCCCGGCCCCGGAGTGGAGAGACACAGTAGATAATGTGAGACTTCCTAGTCAGGGGAGAGGACAATAGTCAATGGGTCACAGGAGGGGACAGCAGAAATATGTGAGTTGGGATGGGGTAGTCTGAAAGGGTGGAGTTTGTTTTTGCATTTAAAAATACCATGAAAACCCAGAGCCTCCAACTTGGGATGGCACTAGGTCTGTGCTTTTATACAAGCTGTAAAAACCTGAGCCTACATATTGAGCCCAAGCTGAAGCTAGCCTTTATTTTTTGGTTACAGTCTTCCACTAGGTAGGTTTGCACAGTGGTGCTTGCCAATATGGAGCTATATATGGCTTTTCTAAGCCTGGGTTTAGTTTGCACGTGGAGTCTGGTTGAGCAGGAGCTGTGAGTTCCTGTCGGATTTCCCCTCTGGGATTTAGTTCTGAACTGTAAGCTTGTAAAGTGCTCCCCTTTAATGGACCCTTCTTTTGGCTTCAGTTGATGACCTATGAGATTTAGATGCTTAGCTGGAATAAGTAACATGTAAATTGGTATAAATTCGTTACTCCAGGAAATTTCACTTCTGTTTCTTAATCTGTTTGTGTATTGAGAAACTGTTAGTTGCTACTTCCTGTAGCATGTCCTCAGAGATCTTGAGCCCTTTTCATTTATAAGAGAGCACAGCTGAGGTATGCAAAATGTAATTGCCACAGTTGGGGCACATGCTAATTAATACAGTGTGCTGTTGAGCACATGATTTTGTGTCACACAATTGCAATTGAGGGAGAAGTTGGAAAGGGGTTGTATGCTGGGAAATGACCCATTACTGATCCATTATATTTTGTGTTTGGGGGTTTTGCTTTGTGTTTTAGCACAATTAGGTAGGTGAAAGATTGAAGGAGCAGAGGTATTAAAAAAAAAAAGATAGCTCCTCCTGCCCCCTCCCAAAAGTCATGGAGAAGAAGGGCAGATGCTGCTTGCTATTGTTCTCCCCGACCTCTGCCAGTGAGATCAGTATCCTCACTGCCCTTCACCCAAAAGCAACAGAAAGGAATTGCAGCTCCTCTCCCAAGAGGATTTTCCCATGAGTTAGTTCCACTGAAATTTATGTGATTCACTTGTAGGGCCACTGAGGATAAAATGATCTACTTCTGAGTAGACAAACCTGAGTTCAGGTTTGAAATAGCATTGAAATGCAGCTTTTTCAGTGGGGAGGGGAGGGGAAGCAGCACTGCGTTTGCAAGTCAGAGAGAGGGAGGGAGGGAGAGAAGTTGGGTGGGTAGCAAAGGAGGTGGGAATGCAACTGAATATCTCTAAGTTATTGCTGCTGTTTGCCTTCTTCCCTGCAGCCCATTGAGGTCACTCCTTGTCCCAGAACAGAACCACAAGTTTAACACAAACTGCACTGCTGCTTGTGCTTCTTCATATGCTTTGGCACTGCCCCATGGCATTTTCCTTTTGGGAGGAGGTAATAATTTGGATAAATCTTGTGGTGGAACTTTCTTTAATATGCAAGGACATGCACGTTCGTTTGAACTGCCTACTCATCTCTTGGAATTTAATGCACGGTCAACCTAAAGGGATTATCTGCACTCCTTTTGACAGCTGACTTAGGTTGCAGCATTAGAAAGCTAAAAACCCACCTGCAATAACACAGTGGATGAAGTATTTAATGAAACTTTCAGTTTTTGAAGGGGTGGCCTTTAGATATAATATATAAATGGATACCTATATGGAAATTTGGGGTACCTTTGCTGAATTCTATACACCATTATTTTTAAAATAATGGTAGCATGTTGTTATATACTAAGATAGCGAAATATATAATAAACATGCAATTAGTGGTATGCATATTTTTATTCAAAAACAGTAATGTTCATTACATTTTTGTTCCTTTTTTAATGGTGTCATTTATGGGGGTTTTTTGTTTTGGTATTGCAGTTTGGTTAAAAATGGTTAAATGAATGCACATTGCTGAATATACCAGGGAGGAAAATATAAATTTAAGTTATAACAGGTTTGAAGAAAGGCAGGATATAATGGCAGAAGCAGCACGAGGAGAATGGGGTGGGGTGGGCATCAGGTGGCGTGCCAATGAGTAAGGCATTAGAAGGCTGGTAAAAATTCTTAGTATAGATTGTGCTAATTGGTGTGCAATCATGGAAATTACTGGTCCCAACTGAACCTGGAAGGTCTCCAAGGGGAACTTTCATAGAAAAGGAGAACTGAGACTTCTGGTGGGAGTGGGGAGGATAGAGAAAGAGCTGCACTTCTCATGCCCTTGTGAGAGGATAAAAACAGGACTCAGGCATGAATCGCTCACATCGGACAAGCTTTGCAGAGATGAAGCTCCTTCTGTTCTTGGGGCTGTCCCTCCTCGCAGTTCTGGTGGTGCCCAGTGCTGAGGGCAAGATATTTCAGAGATGCGAGCTTGCCAGGGTGCTGAAGCAGCATCAGTTGGAAGGGTTTGTGGGACGCAAAGTCGCTGACTGTGAGTATCTCTCTGGTCTTTATTCCGGGCAGGAATGTTTGAGCATCCTTGGGTTGTCAGCCCATGGCTTCCCATGGTGGAACTGAGGCTCCACTGCCCTCTGATGCATCTGGGGCCAGCAGGGGAGACTTTCCCTCCTGGCAGACTTAGTTTTTGCCAGCGTCCCCCAAGGGGTGGGGGAAGCAGAGTTAAGAAAGGCTGCCTCTCCAGGCTGATCCTTGTCTGAATGCCCTATGACAGCAGGAGGCAATGTGGTTGGTGTCCCTGAACACACTTCTTGGTGCCTGTCAAGCTGTCTGAGCCTCCAGAAAAGGAAACATTTCTTATCAACAGCTGAGATAGCTACAGAATAGGTTTCTGTTGGTGCTGAAAATTGAGTTCAAAAGAGTTCTTGAATGTACTGGGGCTTGGAGTCTCCCCTGCCTTGTCCCCTGCCCTTGTCCTTTTGAGTGGGTTGCCTATCCTTTCCTCAAAGAGTTTCTTAAATGGTCAAATGTGCTCATTTTCCAAAAGGGTTGGCTGCCCCTTCTCCATAGTCTATGCATCCCCCCTCCATGCTAACATTAGCAAATGCCTTAACATGGAAGCAGGAGGTCTGCTGTCCCTCTGGCATTATCTGACCTTCTGCTTCCCCATCTGGGCTTTGGCATGTCCAAGCAGAGAAATGCCAGGCAAGGAGCAAAGCCAGAAGGGAAGAGAAAGAATCCGGAGGAGCAGGGGCAATAAACCCAAAATCTAGAGATGTAATCAATTATTCCCTCTGCATAGGAATTTGTTGCAGCACCTGTGATGCCTTTTCATATTTGTCCATGGGCCCAAAGAAGTTTCTTACTGTTCAGTTGTTGAATGAAGGGATTGAGAGCGCTGTTGACAAGGCCCCTGCCTCCCTTTCACCCTGCTCTAAATGTAACTGGAATGGAAGGCACTTCGTTTTTACTTTGCCAGATTCCAGTAGAGGCAGACTTTAACTAAATGGTGTGACATTTTATGAAAACTTGGGGTTGAAAGTAGCTTAACAACCATTTGCATTTAGCATGTGAGAAAGATGTAGTGAGAAATTCCAGAGATATACCATTACATTCTGAAAAAAGAGAAATGTCAAAATAGAACAACAAGAAAAGACGGCAGTCATGGTGACTTCCAAATAAACATCAGTAAAGTCAGCCTAACTTCCAGTTACATTTTACCTGCTTGAGCTGAATCTTGGGTTTCTGAATGAGTGTCAGTGTGTATTTGTTTCCTGATCTGGATGTTTCCAGGAAAACAAAATGTGGGATGATGCTCTAATTCCTTACAGGAATCTGCGACCCATTGTATGTGGCTTCTCAAAGGAAACAGGTTGTGGAATGGTCCAATGGTGAAGGAAAGAAATGCTCTAGGCAGCCAGTCAGAAATTTATTTAGAGGCTGTTTCCATCTCTTTATTCTAAACTTGCACTGCAAAAGAACTAGCTAGTCCAAGAACTAGGGTTATTGTAAAAATGGGATTAAGGTGATAATTTGTTGGTGAGGCAAGGCAATCCAATCTGCTGATGCTTAGAAAGTTTGCTGCTGTTGTGCTTTTCCCTACCATACTGGTTTTTATGATGTGTATTTTCTTGTATGCCAGCTCAGGAAGGCATTCAAGAAATAATTTAAATAAATCAATACTTTTGGAAATAAAAAAAATGTTTTCCAGAGGGGGGAGCACTCTTGCTTTGCTCAGAAAGCAGGGGCTGGCCACAAGGTTGATGGCAAGATGTTCTGCAGGGGTCTGCCTGGCACAACACGAGAGCAGTTACAATACCGCGGCTGTGCATGACAATGGACGCAGCCGTGACTACGGGATCTTCCAGATCAACAGCCAGTACTGATGTGATGATGGCAAGACGGCTGGCTCCAAGAACGCCTGCCGCATTTCCTGCTACAGTAAGCATGTCCATCTGCACAGTGAGGAGCTGAATGGAGCAGCCCACAACATGCCAGGGTTTGGGACATCCCTTCCCCTTCCCCTTGGCTTTTCCTTCGGCCCGTGACAGCTTCCTGAGGTGGCCCCGTGTTTCTCCTCTGGCTCATCCCGTTCCTTTTCTTCTTCCTTAAGAACTCCTGGATGATAACATTGCGGATGACATAGCATGTGGCAAGCAGATTGCGAGGGAAGCGAGGGGCCTGACCCCCTGGTAAGTGGAATCTGGGATGTGCAGTGGGTCAGAGAGGGGAGGACTGGTGGGTTGTGGGGAGAAGGACGGGGTGAGGAATACTCATGATTCAGGATGAGGAGATGGCTGGAGAGTTTTGTAGCAGGCCTGAAAGGGTCTGCCATGTCTTTGAAGGCACAGCCAGGGGAGAGGCCTTCCATGGCAGCCACCTGGATGTGAGCATGAGAGGGTATGTCCATGGGCCAGCTCCTGAGCTAAGCGAGCAGAGCAGAGCACTGCTTGAGCAGGGGGTGCTTCTGGCTCCCCTCCCACCACAGTCCCTGGAGGGTTGCAGGGCCCTCTGGAATGGTGTGTTGTGGGGTCTGGAGGGCAGGAACAGGAGGGGGAATCGGGAGGAACTGATGGGGCAGCTGCAAGCACCTTTCTGCTCACACAAGCTTCCCTCAGAAGCCAAACCAGTTTTGATGGGCTACAAACCCTGGTAGCCATTAGGAAGAACCTCTGAGAGAGTGTGAATTACAAGGGCAACGGTCTTAGAACTGATCCCTTTTACAAAAGGGGGAAAGATGTTCATGGCAGAAGCTCTTTCAGTGACTCCAGATGAGGCTTTTCTGTGCCATCAGCTGGCTTCATTCAGGGATTTTGAGGTGGGGGAGGGCAGATGTTGCCACTCTCCAATTGTACCACTTCTGTGTTTTTCCACCACTTTGTCCACCATTCTACTTGCCATGGAAAACCCCTCAAGCAAGGCAGGGCAGAATAGCTGCATGCTTCCTGATTATTAGTGCTTAGGAAGCCTCCATGTGGAAGCAGTCTTAAGGTGAGTTGGAAGAGATCTACAGGGCAGGACCCCAAGTTGAAGCATCCCTGATGGATGGCTGTCCAACTGCCCCTTGACTTCCTCCAGTGCAGGAATGCCCATGAGATCCCTAGGAAATTGGTTCTAACACCATACTGCTAGAATAGGATTTTTTCCTGCTATCTAGCTGGAATATGGCTTCCTGAAACTCGAGCCCATAATTCCATGTCCTCCACTCTTAGATGATCAATAAGAGATCCTGTTCCACTTCTGTGAGACAGCCTTTCAAGAACTTTAAGACTGCGATCATCTCTCCCCTCATTCTTGTCCTCTCAAGGCTAAACCATGCCTAGCTCTTTCAATCTGTCCATACAGGGCTTTGTTTCCAGTCCCTTGGTCATCCGTATTGCCCTCCTCTGAACTTTTTCCATTTTGTCTGCATCCTTCTTGAAGCATGGTGCCCAGAACTGGACACAGCACTCCAGAGGGGCCTAAGAGTCTTAAGATGGCAGTGCTGGAAGCAGGCTGTTTGCAGACTACTGAGCTGGGGAGGAAGGTGATGGCACAGACAAGACCTCTTCTTCGCCTCAGCAACAGACATCACAATTAAAAAGGGGTGTCTAAGGCAAAGGGTGCTGTGCACGGACAGCTCCCCCTCAAGTATTGCTTCTGCTCCCTCTGCATGAAGTGAGGATTTTAATGGTCTCCTTTGCATCCTTTGCTTTCTCCACAGGGTTGCCTGGAGGAGACACTGCCAAGGGAATGTTGACCCATATGTCAGGGGCTGTTTCTAGTTCAGTATCTCTGGAAGCAACTGGGTCACTGAAGATGATCCATGTGGGGAGTTGATGGTAGTTGAAAATGGGTCACTGGTAAATTAGCTATATCTCTTAGCCTCCTATCTCAAAGAAAGACAGCCCAGGGTTTGCAAAACACCAACCACCAGAGATAGTCTAGTCAATATCTCCAAATGATATTTTGTGATGGGCTCTTTCAGATTGTTAGAAACTAATAAAAGGAATAGATAGACTGCAGTTTTTTGTTGTTTTATTTTCTACTAGTCATTTGATTTCTTTGTTTTCTACTTCTTAACGGAAGGGTTCTAAGCTGAAGTGAAAAGAAGGAAAATTGTGAATGATAGTGACATATCTAGAGCAGAATCCAAGGTGGGGATGTTTGGAAGACTATTTATGAACAAGGATTTTTTAAACATTCAGAACTGCATTAAGAGTATTCAAATCCTGCACCAAGAAAAGTGAGATTCTTTAACTTTTGCTACATACACAAATTAAGCAGAGGTTTTTAAAATGTTGTGTGATTTTATTCTTTAATTTTTGTAGTCAACAATTTTATCTTTCTCATCATGGAAACAGGAACAATGCAGCACATTGAGTTCACCCTCCCCAGACTAAAAATAAAATAAAATCTTGATCCAAAATCCCACAGGTGCCTGAGATATCATCAGGCATTGCCCATATACTTTGCCTATATCTGTGCTATCCCAGGCACTTAAAATGTGCTGTTTGATAATCTCAAAAAGCAAAACTCTGCACCTAATACACAATAAGTTACACCTTGTTGAATTATTTGTCCATCTAGGCCGGGGTTGTCTATTATAACTGGTGGGGTCTCTCTGGGGCCTCAAGCGAGGCAGATGTTTTCCCCACCGACTGCTTCTTAAGCCACTTTTTATCTGGTGATAACACATTTTAAGCCAGGGGATTACTGCATGCAAAACATGTGCTCAAGCCCTAAGCAGTGGCTTTTCTGCACTGGTCCAGCATTGTGGCATAAGCCCAGTCCAATGAGAAAGGACTCTGAGGCACATGAACTTATGTGTTGCTGCATTTTCATTTTGCACTGGAACAAAAGGCCTGTAACTGCGTGTTACAGCTTCCCATGCTGAACCTGGCTGAGGCTGTGGCATGTGGTGACTGTCACAATGCAGCTTGCTGCTTATGTGCTATATAGGCCATATAGATTCCTTCTTTTTGCCCCTAAAAAACACTCCGAAGAAACCTTTCTGGAAAAAATGCAGAAAGACATGCTGTTACATCCATTAGGAAGCTCAGAAAACAGCCCCAGTTTGTGCAGGGAATGGGAAGGAATCATCACTCTGAAGGAAGGAGCTAACTTGAGCACTGTGTTGGAAAAAAGCAACGCAAAGCAATTCATTTATTTGCATAGCTCTGCATCTACTTTGGTTAAGCCAATATGCAGGGCTGCAGTCCTGCTTGTTACTGCTGTGAAATAGTGCCTGAATTCTGGATGAGGCCATGATTTAAAAGCTAAGAGGGAGCTTTGTTCTGGATATGAGTGCATGTAGGAATGGTGGTAATGTTTGGATGATGTGGTCCAAAGGAGAAAAGGGTGGCTAGAGTGAATGGTGGGTGGAAAAAGAAAAACTGCCTCCTACTGTTTCTTCAATCCTGAAGTTTCAGAAGCCAAAACAAGACAACTCTGGCTCTCCCTCAAGTCTTTGGCTGCCACCAAAGAGGAACAATTGGTCTCTGGCACCTTCTCTCACATTCAAACATTTTTCTGATCTTAACTTCCTTCTGGCTTGTTGATGAAGGAATTCACAAAATTTGGAAAGTTCTTATTTAAAAAAAACTGAATGAAATGCTCACCCACCTCCTTGTAGCCAATTCAACAGGTACAGCTACTCCCGGCATGGACAAGATCATGTTGTACCTGCCTGTCATGTAGCTGTCATGTAAACAATGAGGAGCCTGTCAGAAAAAAGAGGTGGCAACCTTAATTCAACATCACAAATCGTAGCTGAATATACATGGAATCAAAGCAAAACTGTTAAGAGAAAAGCACTCAAAGCACCCTGCTTGGATGGACTACTCTGCTAATTTTATTTCCTCCCACACTTATTTTTTTTAAAATCTCCAGCTCTTTCCATGCTGCTCAGGAGGAATGTATGAATTTTACTAAGTTTGTATTTTAACAAAAATGAACTTAGCAACACTCTCACCTATCCCTAGCCCAATCCATGCATTACCACATTATCTTGTACTGGTGGAAATGCAGCTGATCAGCCAGTGCATGTTTGCTGTGCAGAAGGTGATTCTTTTACTGGCTCTGGAGTTTTGCACAGATGGCCTCATTGTGGGAGAGGCCAGCCTACCTGGAGCAGGCATCAGGTGCGAGCTGCGCATGCCTTTCCCTGCCACTCTCCCAGAATCCTTCCTCCAGTGCTGCTGGGGGCGGGGGGGGGGGGAACAGCCCACTTGGGACAGGCCTGATGCTGCCTTCACCTGCCCGCTTCCTTCCTTCCCACAGGGCAGCTGGTGTCAGATGACCCTTTGTGAGAAGGGAGATACACCAAAAGGTAATGTATTATGGGGGGGGGGGGGGTCAGCACCTGGGTCACCCTGGGCAAATACAGCCCCAGATGGTATTCCACCTTGTTATGAAGAGACTCGTCTCATCTCCCTAGCACCAAAAATTCAAATTTTGCCCAGGAATCCAAGAGAAAGCTTAGATATATAAAGATAGATAGAACACTTTTAGTTTTATGACAGTGGAGTCTTAGTTTCAAATTTGCTATTTTAATCTCTATGCCATTTTTGCTGTGAGCTGCACAGAGTAACCTTGGGCTATAGGGCAGTGTACAAGTGTTGTAAACGAATAAATAAATCATGTATGGGACAAAAAGGCAGCAAGTGTGTGTTTCAGCTGCTTGCCATTCCAGCAGCTCATGAGAACACTCCCATGCCTGCTAACCAGAGGAGGGGGCCTTGAGAATGTGCAACTTCCATCTTCATTCCCTGATCCCTGAACTACTTGAGCTCACCTTATGCCCACCTCCCAACTGGCCTATTTAGGGCCTACTTCGGGAAAGCAGCACGAAGGAACCTTGGAAAATGCATCCTAGTACTTTGCCACCCGTTAACCCATGCAGCAGATGGGCACAGAAGCCTTCCTTGCACGCTCCATCTTTTTGCTCCAGACACCCATGGCGAATCCTTCAAGTGTCATCTGCATCCCTTTGCTCCTCTTCTGTTCACAAAACTTAAGGTTTAGCAACAAATTCTTGAAAGCAGCAGCTGTCATACACATTCACCAACCTCCCATCTCTCTATTTGGTAGAAGTTTCCTCTCTTCCACTTCTGCAGCCTTCGGATGTCACCCTGCCAGCTGCTCCTTCTCTCTTGTTCTCCCTTCCTCCTTTGTTTCCCTCTCCCATAAAGTCTGAATACCACCCAGGAACATAATTGTCTGTTTTTGTAACACAGAGCTGATGCAATTAATTCAGCTGTTGATCCAACCATTCCTTGAAACCCTGGCTTCAAAACATTCTTATTTTTGAAAATAATTTGAAAATGTCTTCAAAACATTTTTATTCCACCTGTATGCCAAAAACACTCTCATGCACTCAATAAAACAAGAGACACCCTACCTGCAGGTATACAGTCCAAAGATATAACCCAAAAGGGTGGGGAGAGAAAAGCTATGGTAAAGGAAGAGCAGAAAAGCAAACTTGCGCACCTATCCTTAAAACAAGTAGTAGTTTTTTTAATACAAGAACCAAAGACAGAACTTGATGCAACAGGCCTTTCAGCAGGGCCCCACTTCTGCTTGCTGCAGTTTAATGGAACAAGGGCTGTAATTGACCTGATTTTCCCATGGCACATAATATCCACTCTCCTTGGGTGTCGATTTAAACACCTGGCAGTCAGGTATGTGCATTCATCATACACATGAAGTGCCGTGGTGATGGCCTGACCTATTTCAAGGTAGATCTTTCAAGGCAACATTTCCTAGTAGGGCAAAATTATGGTTTCGGCATTCAAGCATTAGCCAAAAGGTGGTCACTGGCTTTCATCTGGTACTATTGGCTTGATGTCTGTGCCAGGCAAGACTGCAACCCTAACTTGTGGTCCTACAACTCCCATCAGCCCTAGCTAGCATAATCAATTATGAGGGACCATGAATGTTTGTAGCCAAAGTATTTACACAACCTCTTTGTCAGCCCCTGCACTAAGCCTTTAAGTTCCTTTTGCACAGTTAGCCGTCCTGTAACTGACTAAAACAAACCACCGAAAGACCTCTTCTTCTGAATGGAACAAGTTATTTTAGAATAAACACTGTAAATGAAGCGTAGCGTAATTCCCAGCTATCACAATGACTTTATGAGACTTTTCCAGAGGCTCATGATGTAAAGAAAGCTGGGAACTGCATGTGAAGACCATTTGCCATGAGGAAAATTCTACTGGGAAGCATGATAAAACACCATGTGGCAAGAGGGGTCCTCAAACTGGGTAAAGCAGTGCAGTAACTTTTATACAGTTGCAACAGTAAGGGAACGCCACAAGGGGGAGGCAGAGTCTGCACAGCTTCAGCAGGTTCTCTCCTCTGTAGGTGGAGACCTACCCAACTGACCTTCCCTCTAGCTTTTGGTATGTCTCTGCTTTACCTAAGTGGATCAGCTCCAACTGCTGGGCAAAAGCAGAGATGTACTGTGCCAAATGGATGCAATCAGATGCACCATGTATCCTAAAATGCAGGAATGGGGACCCTTTCCCATCCCTGGGGCCAAAGCAGCTCCAGGCAAGCACATCAGGGACCCTAAGCATAAGACAGAAGCATGAGTAGGGTTAGGGGAATTCGAAGTTCTCAGAGACACCAAAAAAAGAAAGGAAAATTTAGGGGGAAAATCACCATATGCTGGATCAATCAAAGGTCCCTCAAGTCCACACAGTAGCAAACCAGCTGCCCTCTGGATCCCTCAAGCAGGACAGGTGCAAGATCTCTGCCTGCCCAAGCTCCTCAGCAACTGGTGCATGGAGGAAAGCCCCCTCTGGTAAAGGGGGTAGCACATGGCCAGCAAGGCTAGTAGCCACTGATAGCCTCCTCCCTCGTGAATCTGCCCAATCCCCTTTTAAAGCCATCCAAACTGGCAGCCATCACTTCCCCGGGCAGCAAATTCCATTGTTTATACATTGTGACTAAGAACATAATCCTAAAGGATAGTGGAGGGCCACCCCAAAACAGCCTAAATAGGACTGAAAACGCTGGCTGG